TACATTCTGCAACACATTGAAACTTGACCCTATTTCAACATCAAGGACCTAATATTTCCTTATCATACTTCTCAAAAAATTTCCCAAAATGTCCTCTTTCGTCCTCCATAATCCACATCCCCAGATCATCACCTTCATGTGATGAACATATCACATATGTCACATATGTGAATAACTTCGTTCATTCCCTATGGTCTACTTCGATCCTGAATTTTCCGACTCGATCTCGATTCACAGTACAGAATAAAAAGAAAGAATGCAATGTACAGTACTATGAAGCTCTAAAGTATGCGATGAAGACACGCGAATCGAACTGGCTCAATTTGGTTGATTAAATTGGCCTCGGTTTACGTTGAGGAGCGAGCTGCCGACCGACTCCTCGAGCAGTGTTCGCGGTTTCAGCGAGTCGACGCGCAGCTTCTTCGCGAACCACCGTTAATTTTTCCATCAAGGGCGTAAATGCCATTTTGAGAGTAAACTGCAGCTTCTGCTAACGAATTCCTGTCGGAGAATGCCCGTGGGCAAGCTAAAGGGGAACGAACGGATTGTGACTTGTTTATGAACGATTTAAAGTTCTCTTAGTGATATTTTGATAATTGTGGAGTTAGGGGAATATGATACTACGCAGTGTTAATTATTCGATCAGGTGGCAGTTTGTGGGTCAGATCAGACCTAGTGAAGGAAGGATGTTTCGGTGGAAGACTGTGGGAAAAGGTATTGTGGTGTTTTGTTATTAGTGAGAGTAGTTTTAGTACATTTAGTGCATCACATAGGACACGTGGTGTATGATTTGAAGTTTGGGAGATTTGAAGTTAGCGTTGGGTGAATGGTTTGGGAGGTTTAGAAATGGGGTTTTGGAATTTTGTAAAGTGCGGAATTGGATATGCAGAATTTTTGAAGTATGGAATTGGAGATTTAGAAATTTGGGAATTTTGAAATTGGAGATTTTGAAATTTGGAAATGGGAGATTTGGAGACTTAGAAATTTGTGAAGTGTGGAATTGAGAATTTTAAAATTGGTAAATTAGAAAATAGGAGATTTAGAAATTTGTGAAGTGCAAATTGGATATTTGAAATTTGTGAAATTTGAAATTGGAAATTTAGAATCTTGTCAATTGAAAGTTTGGAAATTTGGAAACTAGAGAATTTGGGGATTTGAAAATTTGGAAATTGGGAAACTAAGGAATTTAGGGATTTGGAAATTTGTAAATTTAGAAATAGGGAAACTAAGGAATTTGGGGAATTGGAAATTTGGAGACTAGGGAATTTGAGGATTTGGAAATTTGGAAATTGGGGAACTAGGGAATTTGGGGATTTGGAAATTTGGGAACTAGGGAATTTGGGGATTTGGAAGTTTGGAAATTGGGAAACTAAGGAATTTAGGGATTTGGGAATTTGGAAATTTGGAAATTTAGAAATTGGGAAACTAGGGAATTTGGGGAATTGGAAATTGGGAAACTAGCGAATTTGGGGATTTGGAAATTTGGAAACTAGGGAATTTGGGGATTTGGAAATTAGGAAATTTGGGGATTTGAAAATTTGGAAACTAGGGAATTTGGGGATTTGGAAATTTGGGAATTTGGGGTTTAGGGAATTGGGGGATTTGGTAATTTGGAAATTTGGGAATTTGGGATCTAGGGAATTTGGGGATTTGGTAATTTGGAAATTTGGGAATTTGGGGTCTAGGGAATTGGGGGATTTGGTAATTTGGAAATTTGGAAATTTGGAAATTTGGAAATTTGTAACTTATAAATTTGAAAATTTGATAACAAAGTACCCATAAATCCCAGAACCAATAACCCATAAACTTAATAACGAGAAACGTCCCAAATGAATATGACTAATACCAGAAAATCGGATCCACGTTTCATTAGCGTACATTATCAAATATCATTCATCTCGTTCCACAAATTACCGGTCTTTATACATAATACAGTTTGATACCGAGAGGTATGGCCTTTGGTGTTAACACAAAGGCTCATTTGATCCCTGTGACCGAATCTGTCAAACAACCAATCGCTAATTACTAATTCCTGATCATTAACTACGATACACCTTTACTAGCTAGTCTATCAAGAACGTTTTAGATAATTACCTCAGCTTCCTCCAATATTTCTTACGATACCTGATATCGAATATAATTCTTCGTTAAATATTTAATTAACGAAAACTCTTCGACCATGGTGAAATTTAATATTGCACGATAAAATGTATCTAGAAATTAATCCACGGAATAAACTGTTAATTTTCAACGATACGTGATTTACGTGAATCGATTAACAGGTTGGACTGTGTACGTTATCGTCGTTGAAGCTTAAAAGCTTCGTTTAATCCAACAGAAAGAGAATTTAATGGTTGGGCGGTCTTTCGAATTCTATTTTCTTCTTGTATCTTTCGTTGTATCGTAATGATACAGCTTATGGGGTATTTTGTAATGAGGAGCTTATAGGAATCGGTTATCAACTTATCGGAGAGTTTAATGTATATTATTTATCAAGTAATTTTCTATTTTAGAACCTATCAATAAGATCTTGTAATAAAAACTAATAAGAACCATTGATGATAAGAACTTGTGGTGAGAACCATTGATGAAACTTTTCACTGATGAAATTTATTGATGACTTTCACTGATAGGTTTTCGCATTGTTTAACTCTTTTAATGAACTTCCAGTTATGGGACTTTTTACTCATGGGAGTTTCCATTGATTGGACCTTTTACGGATTGCATCTTCCACAGATAGGATCTTCCACTAGTAGAAGTCTCCACTGATAGGATTTTCAATTGATTGGACCGTTCAGTGATTAATTCTTCCAGTGATGGAATTTTCCACTTATGGAACCGTTTACCGATGGAACTTTTTACTGATCGAAGCTTTCATTGATGGGACCTTTGACTAATGGGATCTTGCACTGATAGGTTCTCTCACTGGTGGAACATTGCACTGATAGAACTTTGCACTGGTAGAATGTTCCAATATCAGAAAATTTCTCTGATGAAATCTTTCATTGATAGGAGCTTTCTTTGTTGGAACCTTTCATTGATAGAAGCTTTCATTGACAGAACCTTTCTAGATGGAATCATTAAGTAATAGAACCTTTTACTGATAGAACCATTCAGTGATGGAATCATCTACTAATAGAACCTTTAACTGATGGAATTATCCACTGAATGAATCATTCACTGATAGAACTTTTCTCTATTGGAACCATTCACTGATTGAATCTTGCTGTGATGGAATCATCCACTGTTAGAACCTTTCACTGATAGAAACCTTGCTCTGATAGAATTATTCCACTTATAGAGCCTTTCAATGATAGAACCTTGCTGTGATGGAATTATCCACTGATAGAGCCTTTCACTGACAGAAACCTTGCTCTGATAGAATTATTCCACTTATAGAGCCCTTCACTGATAGAACCTTGCTGTGATAGAATCATCTACTAATAGGACCTTTCACTGACTGAATTCCTCTCTGATGGAATTAGCCACTGATAGAACCTTACTATAATAGAATTGTTCACTGATAGAACCTTGCTGTGATACAATCGTCCACTGATAGAACCATTCATTGACAGAACTTAGCTGTGGTGGAATCATTCATTGATAGACCCTTTCATTAATAGAATCATCTACTGATAGAACTTTTGTCTGACGAAATCATTCGGTAATAGAAACTTCTACTGAGAGAATCCCTCTTATGGAGTCATCCTCTGATAGAACCTTGCTCTGATAGAATTTTAGCGGTTTAACTAGAAAATGAAGGGGCTAGTGAGAATGAAGGATAGGAAGAGAGTATTTCTCGTCCGTAGTTAGTGAAGCCGTCAGTAAAACATACTAGTAGTGCCTTAAACGCAAGGATATATAGAAGGAGTGGACAGAAACTGAGTAGAGTACTAGCGAGAAAGTCTCGACTTCATGCGCCATCTTGCGGCGACAAGCGCAAAGTAAAACCGCCATAGAATCACTGATAGAATTATCCACCATAGAACCATGCACTGGTAGAACTTTTCACTAATAAATCCTTTCACTGGTAAAACCTTCCTATAAAGCTTCCATTGATACATCAACTGATTCTTCCACTATTAAAATCTATCAAGAAACTATTCACCAATAAGTAAAAATAGCACTTATATTATGATTACCCAAATAACTTATGGTGCAAGGAAATAGTGTGTATGAATAACAATATGTGCATGAATACCTATTCATATCTACATCTTGCCATTCAAGGTACACATTGTCTTTTTCTCTTGAAAGAATTTAATGACAGTGATTTTACGCTGGATGGCACTCAGAATGGCACAGTAGTCTTCTAACGACGTGCACTTCATAGTGATAGAACCGAGTGAAGGTCACTTTATAATTATAACTCGTCGAGCAATTCAGTCGTAATTCCGTAGTTTTGAACATACAGCAAAAAGTTCAAATCGAATTATTTCAGTCTGATCAAATGTAACGTTAATAAAATCATACCGCAGCTGGCGGTGAAATATAATCTCGTCATCTGAGAAACATCCAAGCCCATAAAACCGGAAATCTCATAACACTCAAAAGCTGTGAACATTCGACGTTAAAATATGTTTCCTGGCGAAACAGCGTGCTGCCGTAAATGTCCGTTGACCCGTTGATAAAACGAACTGCAGCGTTAGCGAAACATCAGGATTCTTCTAGCGTTGGGTACAGCTTTCTTCCGGAACATCGTATTACCGTTTTATCGCTGTTCCACTAGGGAGGAAATAGCATCACGTGATCAAGTCATTTTCCGTCGAAACACAGCTCGAACGTTCTTCGTCGGTATACTTTCGCGCTTCGTCGACCGACGAATGCTAAAATACCCGCGAGAGACGTCCAACGAGCGACTGACGTATCTGGAGCGGATTCCTGTAAAAGTCCCTCGCGAAATCCTTTCGTGTCTTTCTTTTCCGCGGTCCCCCATCAAATTTCATCCGGATAACGTATCACGTTGGTGCTCATTATATTTTTCCCGGTGCTCGTTGCAGTTCCCACGAAGGCGCTGGCAGGTGCCAAGAGTCTGGGTGGATTTTTATACAGCGCCGTGAATAAAGCTGGTAAAACTGTCGTGGAGGCTGGCGTGAAGATCAAGAAGACCGTCGAGGAGAACGTGAGTAATACCCATGCTATTCTTTTTATTCTATTTATTATTTAATCTGATATCCCGTCGCGACACGACGAGATATCCCCGACGCTCTGTTCTGTCGCGAGTGATTTATGAGAACAGTGTAGCATTTCTGTATTTGCTCTTTTCTGTGATAACGAAAGTGCACGATCCTTGAGACGCGAATCGAATTTAAATTTTATGCAGGAGCTACTGGAGATAGTAGTTTTGAAAAATTGTAGGGTGCAGTTTTTTGAAATGCGAGAGAAATTGATATTTTGATCCTTGTAGTGGAGATATGTAGCGGTGAAATTGTGTTGAAATTGTTTGGGAATTTATGAAGGGTAGTTGGAATTGCGTTGTGGGGGTAGAGAGTGGAGTTTTGTTAATTTGGGGATTTTGGGATTTGGGATTTGGGAGTTTGGGAATTTAGGGGTAGAGGATTTAGGGAATAGGAATTTAACGAGATGGGGATTTAAGAGGTTGGGGATTTAAGGTGATGGGGATTTAGAAAGATGGGGATTTAGGAAGATAGGGATTCAGGAAGATAGGGATTTAGGGAGATGGGGATTTAGGAAGATGGGGATTTAGAGAGATGGGAATTTAGGAAGATGGGGATTTAGAGAGATAGGAATTTAGGAAGATGGGGATTTAGGGAGATAGGGATTTAGAAATATGGGGATTTAGAGATATAGTAATTTAGGAAGATGGGGATTTAGAGAGATAGGGATTTAGAAAGATGGGGATTTAGAGAGATAGAAATTTAGGAAGATGGGGATTTAAGGAGATGGGGATTTAGGAAAATGGAGTTTAGGAAAATGGGAATTTAGGAAGATGGGGATTTAGGAAAATGAAGTTTAGGAAAATGGGAATTTAGGAAGATGGGAATTTAGAAAGATGGGGATTTAGGAAGATGGGAATTTAGGAATTTAGGGATTTGAGAATTGAGAGATTTGGAAATTGAGGGATTTAGAAATTTAGAAAGTTGATAATTGAAAAATTGAAAATTTCGTGCTTGAAAATGTATAAACTGGAAGAGTAGAAAATTTTGAAGGGTGGTAATTGGAAAGTTAAAAATGTAATAATTCAAATCGAAATCCATAAGAATGAAATAATTGAATAATTGAAGTATTGAAAAATTGAACGATTGAATAATTGAAAAATTGAACGATTGAATAATTGAATAATTGAACGATCGAATAATTCAAATATTGAATAATAAAACAGTTGAATAATCGATCAACTGAATAATAGAATAATTGAATAATTGAATTGCATAAAAATCGTATCGAATCCCAAGGGTCGTTCACTCTCCTTAAAAAACCATATGTACAAATTCTAACATACATGCGCAATGCCGGAGCACATCAACGATAAAATAGGATTTTAATAAATTGAACTTTATTGATTTTCGATGACGAACCGCCACGACTCGTATCGCGAACGAGAATTTACCGTAACCGTTTATATTAAAATCCTTTTTTGATTACAATTCGTCAGATCCTTTGATTCGATGGCTCGTTCGATTTCAATAGCTAACACCGATCAAAAATTTGAGTCACCCTCTTTGCTATCAAAATTAATCGAATGGAAATTTTACTAAAAAAAAAAGCACGGATATCAAAAAAGATCGGTTGTTTGAAAGTTTAAAATCGCAAACGCGATGAAATGCAAATGGATTTCTTTTAATTGCTCGAGTAGTTACTTTCGAGATCTGTAAATGCAGCTTGAATATTTCGTTCACCCTTTTGTTGCGGTTTGATGTCCGACCGCGGAAAAACGATGCTTCTCTCGATCGTTTTACTGAATTATTTCCCTAGATTTTCCGTGGAAAACGCGTTCCACCTTATTTTCGTTCGACGAACAAGTTTCCTTCCAACCGAACATTCTTATTTTCCGTTTAGCATTTCGATTTCAATTTCGCAGGGGTTTTGCAACCCCTTCTGAGGAATGGGGTTACGGAAATTCAGAGTTCACTTGTTTTTTGTGTAATTGTTATTTTATTAAATCGATATTAATGTGTTTAATTATATACAATATTCGTTAGTTGCGTCAACAACTGCCGTGTGCTTGTGGGATTGAAAATTGACGAGCTCGTTAATTAATTACTTCAAACATTTATGATGCTGGTAATCATTATCATAGTATTAATTTCGTTATAGTACTGAGAAGCCCGAAACCGATGGGTTATGTGAGAATTTCATTGGGTAAAATAATTGTTTAAAAGGCGAAAAATATGTGAGGAGTATAATAAAAATTTAATTTTTCTGATAACTAAAATTTGTTATTATAAAATAGGTGATTTTATTTCAAATCGATAATTCAAATTAATAATTAATAATTTCAGAAATTCATATTAATAATCAATAATTTCAATAATTCAGTTGAAATTAATGATTCAGATAATTATTATTGTAATTAAAATTGATCGTATTACTAATTATTGATGTTTGTTACATTTTTAATTCAGCTCAGTCGTGATAATTAGAATGGACGATTGTTTTAATCGAAATCATTCTACTTGTTGAGTATTTAGGGATTGGAGATTTAGGAAGATGGGGTTTAGGAAGATGGGGATTTAGGAAGAAGGGGATTTAGGAAGATGGAGATTTAGGAAGATGGTAATTTAGAGAGATGGGGATTTAGAGAGATGGAAATTTGGGAAGATGGGAATTTAGAGAGATGGGTATTTAGAGAGATGGGAATTTAGGAAAGTGGGGACTTAGAGAGATGGAGATTTAGGAAGATGGGAATTTAGAGAGATGGGGATTTAGAGAGATGGAAATTTAGGAAGATGGGAATTTAGAGAGATGGGGATTTAGAGAGATGGGAATTTAGGAAGGTGGGGACTTAGAGAGATGGGGATTTAGGAAGATGGGAATTTAGAGAGATGGGGATTTAGGAAGATGGGGATTTAGAGAGTTGGGAATTTAGAAAGATGGTAATTTAGAGAGATAGAAATTTAGGAAGATGGGAATGTAGAGGGATGGGAATTTAGGAAGATGTGGATTAAAAGAGATGCAAGTTTAGGGTGATGGGGATTTAAGGAGCTGTTGATTTAGGAAGATGGAAACTGAACTATTTCAATTCAGCTTCATAAATAAACTTTCTTTAATCGAAACTCCACAATCGATCGCAATAATCATACCTAGAATCAGTTATTAAAATGAATGACTATTCTACTCGAAATCACTAACCTAATTGTTGAGTCACCACTTTAATTCAGCTACATAATTAAACTTTCCGATCCCCTTAATCGAAAGTCAACAATCGCACTAATACCTGGAATCAATTATTAAAATGATTAGAACCGGTGTTACAGAGTGGAAATCATAATGATTGAAGTGCATAATTGATCAAACATTCCAATCGAAATCAGTGACGTAAAGCTAGAGAATTCGCGTGACGTCTATTTTATATAACACGCATACAAATATTATCGTCGATGTTCTCGATCGTCAGTTTCCAATAGCGTCGAATAAAAATCTGAAGCGAGCGAAAATGTCGAGAAGTTTAATGCCCTCCCGATAAATTCCCGCTCGAAGGAAAATTGAATCCGTGGAATATGATACGAAGGGCAAAGATCGCGATTCAAAGAATCCCATTGAACTTTCTGTTGCCCGTGAACCTTCAGGGGAGGGTGATACCCGAGGCAGAAGTCGCGAGACCGACATAAAAGTCGAGGACGCAACGCGGAGGAATCGTCGTGATATCGAGAAGGCCGAAGACCCGGGGAGGTTACGTTTTCTTTTTTTAAAGTGTGTTCAATGACATTTCTTCTCGCAGAGAATATTCCGCGTCGCCGTCTCATCGAGTGCATTATACTCGTCGAAATGACATTTCTATTCGCGACTGGAATTCTAGCCTCTCTGACTCCGCGTATTTAATAGAGACGAATCGAGGGGGATGAAGCGGGTGGAAGAGGATAAATTCTTGCTCGAGAATGCTCGATGGAACGCCGCGACTAGATTTCGGTCATTTCGTTTTATAATTATTGTCGTTATCTCTGTTTTTACCGCAGTAAATCTGAACCACCCCTAATCTTCTTTGAGATCATTTTAGGGTTACGTGTTACTTTATTCTTGTATCTTGCAAAATTATTCATATTGAAGTCGGAAGACCATTTATTTGCAGGGTGAATTTTATTTAGGTATAATAAGCAAAATTTGTTATAAATAGATTTTAATCCTTGCTTTACAATATCGTGTTCCACTCGTGACGCACACATGACACACACATGACGCACATATGATTCTCACATGACGTACATATGACTCTCACATGACGCACATATGACTCTCACATGACGCACATATGACTCTCACATGACGCACATATGACTCACATGACACGTATGACTCTCACATGACGCACACGTGACGCACAACTGTAGAAATGCCACAAATATGGTTCCTATTTTCACCACGATTGACTTTCAAGTTTAATTTTAATTTCAATGCACCAATGATCGCCATATTCAGAATATCCCTAACATTTTAACATTTTTTGTCTGTCTCAATATTACAACTACAATTAAGTGGTCTGTCCGACGCACTTGCTCACAAAGTCATAGGTTAAGGGGTTAATGTATGGTGTTGGTCTTTTAATTCAATGTAGGAGTCAGCAGAAAGAAAAATTTGAAATTCAAATTACTTCTGAGTAATTTAAAGTAGTGGCTCTTCTATGTAATTTCAATGTAGTGGTTCTTTTAAGTAATTTTAAAGTAGTGTCTCTTTTATGTAATTACAGTGTAGTAGTTCATTTAAAATAATTTCAATGTAGTGGTTTTTTTAAATAATATCAAAGTAGCAGTTCTTTTAAGTAATTTGAAAGTAGTAGCTCTTTTATATCATTTCAAAGTAGCAGCTCTTTTATGTAATTTCAATGTAAAAATTTATGTAAAATAATTTCAATGTAGTAGTTCTTTTGAATAATTTCAATGTAGTAGTTCTTTTGAACAATTTCAATGTATTAATTCTTTTGAATAATTTCAATGTAGTAGTTCT